TTTTCTTGAGGTTCTTTGGTGCTCTTGGAAGATAAGCGTGTTTGTCTTCCTTTTGTAAATCTTCTATTGATGATTTAATGAAAGTGTTATTGATAAAAAAAAAAAAGATTTAATCCCATACACAAAGCTGTAAAACCTTATTTTAACCTAATTTCAAATAAAATTCTCTTTTGCTGGTAAAAAAAAAAAACACTAGGTGCCCGATTTGAATATAGGTGCCCACCTAATAATCTGGGCGGCGTCTAATGTAAAAACCATCAGTCGTCTGGGCAAGGAGACCTCAGGAAACCACCTAGTCACCTGCCTAGGCGTCACCTTGACAACTATAACTATACATTTTTATTCATTTTTTTGAAAGGTATGGTAAGCATTTTATTGATGATAGAGGAAAAAGATTACAACATCTTCCTGGTGCATCACAACAGTGAAGAAGACAGGTTACAAATTCCACACAGACCGAGAGCAAAGCATCTGGAACACATTCTGATGCTTAAACTCAGGAATTACAGATATTCAAGAGCCAAGCTTGTTCACTGTTAGCTGGATTAGGTCCTTTGAACTTCTCACTTTGTTACAGAAAATTCGATTGTTTCTTTTTAGACCATATAGACACTAAACAAGCCACAGGAATGGTCTTCCAAATCAGCTTCCCCTTTTTCTTCAGACCAGGCAGCTTCCAGCAGCATAATAACTCTGACAGATCCAGGCATGATCCAGTTAATACCAGCAGCTTTGAGGAAATGCTCCCAAATCTCAGCTGATATTGAGCAGTGAATGCTAAGGTGATCAATCATCTCTGGGATGAGCCCACACAGATCACATTTTAGGTCTGGAATCTGCACTCCTTGCCTATCCAAATTGACTTTGATAGGCACTTGTTTAGAACCAGCACCCAAACAAGAAAGTTTGACTTGGAGGGACTGATTGGGTTCCACACCTGTTTACTAGGAAAGCCGGTAATATTCATCTTGCAAAGCTTGATGCCAAAGATTTGACTGAAAAACAGCCATCTGCACTCCACTTCCAACTTCCAAGTCCATTCTTCCTCCATATTTACTGAAATAATTTGCCTCTGTAAAAGCTGCAGTAGATCCAGCATCTGATCCAACTCCAAGTCTAAAAGATTTTGCCTGAAAAGAGGGCAAATACATGTTTATACATACCTAGAAACACATATACATATACATATACACACACACACACACCTTGCACATTTGCTGATGTGGCATGGTCTGACCTGTTTGTCCTGAATGGTCGAACCTGTCAGCTGGAGGCAAAAATAGTTCAGCCTCCGAGGTAGTGAACGGTGAACCGGTTTAGAAATGCTCCTCGTAACGAGGTAGTGAAAGGTGAAACGAGAAATGCTCCTCGTAAGCTATTGGGAGAGGCTGCAGCCATTGTTTAGAAAACTAGATCGGACCGGGCGGTTGAACCGGTTGAACCATGACCAGGGGCCCTGATTGGTTCGGTCATACCCCAATAACCGGACTTGCTTAAGACCCGCTAAAAATCGGCTAACTGGCTGGTTGAACTGGTGAACCGGTCTTGGTTTCATGAAACCGCCCGGGTCCATACATACGTGAAATTTTAAAATGTTGTTAACAAGATTTGAACTCAAGACCTCTTATTCTCACATATTACTTAATTACCACTAATCTACCTCTTTACTCGTGCTAATTAATGACTATTTATTATATATACTACATTATTATGCATGTATTTTAAAGAAAATGTAAGTTAAAAGGCTTATATATAGTATTTATATGACTGGTAGTATATATATGTATATGCCACATCATCATGGTTCGACCTCCAGTTCGACCTTTGACCCGTGAACCTCTCTCCCTTTTTTGGTTCCATGCCCGTCCGATTCTTTGAACATTTTCTGCAGCTTGCGCCTTTCCAAGGGATGTTGTATGAGATTACGAATCTAAATCAGTTTATGAATTAATAAAATTTCACTATTACTCATAAAAAATAGTGAAATGAGAAATAGAATTTACACAGAGGTGGCATTCAGGGTGGAGTGGTCAACAGAGGGTAAAACAGGGTGGAAGGGTTATTGTGAACAAATTTTTCTAGAGGTGGACAAAGGAGGAGAGGCGAATCTTTGAAAACAGATCAAGCTCTAAAGAGGTGCCTCAAAACAGACTTCAAAGGCACCTTATGTTTATGGTTATCAACAATTCAACACATAGGCTGTTCGGGGGTATACCCTTTAGTAGATTTTTTGGTCAATCCCTCTTGACAGAATACTTTACTGTTTCAATAAAATATCATATTTTATTATTAATTGCATGGCTTGCTTATTATCAATATATATATATATATATTATTACGAAATGTGGATATGTGGATGCATTTAGCGTTGAGAAAATGGTATCCCCACATGTGGGTTTTAAAGTGAGCGTGCGAGGAAAATCTTGATTTTGCGCGTGGCTCCCCTTCCTACGTGTGAGAAGTCCACTATTCAGCTTCTTAAACAGGATTATATGCCCTGCACTGAGTCCCTCCTTTTTTCTCTTATAAGTTATAACCTCTCTCTCTCTCTCTCTCGTGTAGAGCTAGTCAGGTCTGGGTTGGGGCCAGTTGGAATTGGAATCGACCTGACATGAAATACTGAGGACCCGAACCCGATAGGGTCTGTAATTTATAGACCTAGAACYGAATCGATCGGTTCTCAAGACAATCGGATCTGACATGACAGACACGATTATAAAAATAAATAAATAAATGTGTAATATATATATATATATTAAATATTGTTAAAGTTTGACCTGCCCTAGAATTCTGTCTTGTTTGTTGACTATAAAGTAAACAGCAAGAAGTAGGAGAGGAAAGAGGAAGAGAGAAAAGAGAGGAAAGAGAGAAAGGCTGGTTCGAATTAGAGAAAAAGTAATCCCTGGATTCGGCCAGACCTGTTATTATATTATTAACTTATTGGAAAAGACTTAAGTGCCCTTCTTTAATTTAGAGGCACTCGAACTAACATAACAGTACACATCAACATTCTCAACAAGTACAAAGACCGAAATACCCCTTCACTAACACCACTAACAAATATTATATATATTATCTATATAGCTTGGGTCGGGTCTGAATCAGTTCGTGGCCGGACTGGGAACTGATAATAATCGGGACACTATATTAGGAGTTGAAACTGACCCTTTGGTTCCAGTTCTTGGAACTACAACCGGCCCAATCGGTTCAGGTCCATCGGGTCCGTCGGGTTGGATCCGGTCCATTGACAGCCCTACTTGTGCGCTGAGACAACATGTGTAAAGAGATCTTATTATATCATCTTATTTATAGGGGTGAAACCGGATCGGGTTCAGATCGAATTCAGCAAAATCCGAACCTCGATCTGATTATTAAAAATATACAATAATTTACCTTTTGCAAGCCCCTACAATGCAGGGGCCCCTCTGCTTGTATGTAATAATAACCATGTTCACATACAGAGTAATATTATTGGACTCGATCTTAATTCTTAAATGGACTGGATTAGGGTAGATCCAAATTTGATCTAATTACAAATGGATTTGATTTTTGAGATTCAAATCTAGTTGAGCCGGACTGGATTTTGAGCTCAGATTTTGATAACTGGATAACGTGACTTACTTATATGTCATTAGCACAATGTTTACTTTGTTGCTAATGAAAGAGGGTAGGTGGGTGGAGGAGTGCCAGCCCCATCTTCGGTATGAAAATCATTGCTTGGATATTATCTGGTGTCATGCAGTATAGCAATTTTTATGGTCCCCTAAATATCATGTCATATCTCTTGAATAACAATATGTTCTTCAGGAAATACAAGCAAATATGAGTCAATACCTCTCACCATTTCAATCTATGACAGTTTTATGTACTGATACAGTGATACTAATGTATGCCATCTAATAGGTTGATTAGGTTCTTAAAGGTGAAACTTATTTATTTTCCATGGAAAGCTATTTTCCTTTCCAGAGTTGATTTGTAGAAACCTACTATAGGACATTTGTTTTGCATTTTGTTTGAAGGCTCAGTCAAAATAACCTCCATCAATATAGAAAAATGTATATTCACTGTTCCAGGTTTAGTGTCCCCAATGCTAAGTTTTAAACAGTGTTTTAAAAGGAGTACACCTCATGAGGCATATGCCTCCTTAGTGCTTTATATATGTACACCTTGTATATTTTCCCTTTTAAATAGCTTTTTAATAGTGGCAAAATTATAAACATTAACATGCTCCTTATTGTATATTTGCAAAACACAAAGAAGGAAAAACCATCATTGACCACCAGCTATTCTATTTGAAAATTTGAATTTGACAATTTCACATTAAGCTTTATGGATGTATCTTTTTTAAATATCATTTTTTTCTTTATTTCAATGTGATGTTTTTTAATAAAAATTACAACTATCACTTTTCTAGTTTTTCCTATTTTTTTGTGGGAAATTTCATAACTTTTATATTTGTTTGTTATATTTTTAATTATTTATTAATTAAAAAAATGTGCTCAGGAGATTTATGCCTCATGCCTTGGGATAGTGAAGCACCTTGCATCACATCTCTGTGTTTTAAGACGTTAGTGCTACATGAATCTAAATCCGTTATTTTTTTCATCTGTAGATACTTCTCTTATGAACACTTCTATGTTATATACTGCAAGTTTTGGGAGCTGGATACGGATCATGATTTCTTAATTGATAAGGAGAACCTTATCAGATATGGTAACCATGCTCTTACATACAGGATCGTTGACAGAATCTTTTCACAGGTTTGTTCTCCCAACCAATTTTCTGAAAATCGTAATTGTATTGTAAATCATAGAGAAAGTTTTGTTTTCTTGAAACTGTATGGTAAAGTATTTCAATAAGATAAAAAAGACAAAATACAATGAAGCCTCTGTACAATGGGAAACTGAACAGAGGATATACAGTTCTGCTCATTACAGCCCCATGCCCAAAACAAACTATCCATTCCTTACAAATAGGAAATCAAAAGCAAAAAAAGAGCCAGAATATCTATTTCTAAATAAAGGGTGAACTGCCAACCATGAATGAGCCATCCCCAGTATTTTCCTTAAGATTGCTTCCTTTGGAGTGATTCCCTTCAAACAATCTCCTGTTTCTTTCTCACCCCACAGCCCAGAAAACTGCTGAGGGGAGTATGCTCTATGCTAGTTTGCTACCTTTCTGGCCCTACTTAAACCTTCTAGACACCATGCCTCTATGAATCCCTTCACATCGGCAGGGAAACACAGCTTTACACCAAACAGATCTACCATTCTTAACCAGATCCATTGCGTAAACTCACAGTGAATCAACAAATGGCTAGGCGACTCCACATTTCCATTGCATAAAGGACAAGCCAAATCTGCCACCTCTAAGCCTCTTCTGACTAGATTCTGTTTTGTTAGGATCTTGTCCAGCACTGCTGACCATACAAAGAAAGCCAGTTTAGTTCTGTAACTAGTTTTAAAGGAAAGGTCACATCTCGTGCCTTTTCCATGGGTTGCACGTAACTCTTATTTGCTGGTTTAATAAAATCCTCTCATTTATCTAAAAAAAAAGGTACATCTTTGATCTGAATCTTGTCACTTGGAAAAGAAGTGGTATCCTCCCTTGCTACATAATTGAAAAATGATTTTACAGAAAAGCTACCCTATTTCTCAAACATCCAATTTCTTTTGTCTTCCCCTATACCAGTCGTCTCTGAGTCGTATAGAATCTGAAGCAAGCTGATCTGAGAAGGAACCTCCCAATCGTTTAAATTCCTCCTGAATGGGGGTTCCACATGCAATATTCACTCTGTCTTACCAAATAATCAGCTACAGTTGCATTCTTATTTGTAGCTATTTCAAATAGATCAGGAAATATGGACATCAAAGGACCTTCACACAAGTGATCCTTCCAAAAGAGATCTGTCCGGCCATTTCTCACTTTATATTTTATGCCCTTCAAAAATTGAGGCTGTATATTCTGAATTGCCTTTCAGTTTGAACATCCATAGGCTGATCTGACCTCTTCTGTTTCCCACTCTCTGCTACTAGACCCATATTTGGCTACAATTAACCTTCTCCACAGGCTATCTGACTGCTCACCAAATCTCCATAACCATTTTCGAAGCAATGCAGTGTTTACATCTTTCACTGATCTGATCCCTAGACCCCCATTAGCTTTAGTGCAGCAAATTTTCTTCCTGTTTACAAAGTGACATTTTGATTCTTCCTTCCGTCCCCTCCACAAAAAGTCCCTCATCTTTTTTTTTTCCCAAAGATGCAGCCCACTTTGCTGGAATTGGGAATAGAGATAGAAAACAGGGAGGGAGGACAACACACTTTTAATTAAAGTGACTTTGCCCCTTTTCGACAAGTATTTGGTCTTCCACAATGTTAAATTTTCGTCCACCTTCTCCAAGATGGGCTCCCAAATGGATTTGGATTTACAGTTTTCCACCAAAGGCATGCCCAAATATTTAGACGGGAGTTTACCAACTTTACAATCCCAATCATCTGCCCACTCTTTCAAATTTGCCACCTCCTCAACAGCCATTATTTCTTTCTTCAGGATGTTAATATGCAAACCTGTTTCCACCCCCAACCATCTCAAGATTGCCTTCACATTCCAAATTTGATCCCAAGCTGCATCACAGAAGAAAAGGGTGTCATCTGCAAATTGCAGTAGTGTTTTCTCCACTTCTCCACTGCCTACTTTAAATCCTTCTAACAGTCTTCCCATCCGAGCTCTCTCTACTTTAAATCGTAGAGAAAGTTGAATTGAATGAAATCGTTAATCATATAGTAAATTAGTAAATTGTAAGATTATATCTATATTTTTGAAACTTGTTAAAAAAATTAAATATAGATATACTAAAAGGCTAAATATATAAAGAAAAGTGATTTTTCCCTATTTTTAATCAATTTCCATCATATATACCTAAAACAATAGAATTTACCACTTGTACAATGGAAGCCTAAGACGATACTATCAAGTTTGACTTGAAAGTCAAATAATTCACATACAATAGCTCTGTAACCCATATATGGTGGAAAATAAACAAATAAACTCAATTATGGTCTTAGGCACCATGGATATATCGTTTTCTAGTAAGGGATTTAAAACAAGTATCCCTTGAGAAAATTAAATGTAAACAATAACAGTGACAAAGTAGAGGGCTAGTTTTTAATTGAATTTATTTGAACCGCAGTTAATTGTAAGAATTGTATAAGTCATAGGATTTATGAATCAAATCATGGGATTCAAACAAAAATCGTAAGATTTTTTTTTTTTTTTTTTTTGCAAAAAAGGATTCAGACAGAAGATTCAAATTTGAATCGTATTATAAAACAAAAGAGAATTTTGTCATTGAAAGAAAAATGGTACATATATGTTGTTGAATTTTATGCTTTAATCTTCTTACAGGTTCCAAGAAAGTTTACTAGCAAGTTTGAAGGGAAGATGGGTTATGAAGATTTTGTGTACTTTATGCTGTCAGAGGAGGATAAATCATCTGAACCAAGCCTTGAGTATTGGTATATCTGCACCCCTTATTTTTTTAGCATAAAATATACTGGCAATAATGTCATCACCTGTTGTAGATTCTTGAAAACGAGGAAATTGAAAAAATCAAATCAGTCTTGGAAAAATATTCAGAATTAGCAAATTGAATGGCATGCTACTCTTAAAAGTTTCTCTTCTCATTCCAAGGGAAATTCTTCTAAATGGGAATGATGGACTGGCAGTACTGCAATAGACATAAGGTTCTTCATATAGCTGGCACCATAAGAGATGTGATTTTTTTTTGATGAATACCATAAGAAATGTGATTAAAACTGTAATTCTTCCACTGTTAGGAATTACGGTTGATTCTTACCAAACTTGAGGGAAGAATTTGAATAATGGCATTTTTTAAACCATCTCTTGTATGGTGAAAGCATTTCAGAGCTTTGGGCTGTTTGGTAACTACTGATATAGGTGTTGAAACTGAAAGTGGAATTCTGAAAAGATTCCAAGCTTAGTAATGGATTAACGTCAGAGTCATTACTGGTATATGATAAAACTTTTGGGGGTAAAATAATCAACCCAATGTCTGTACTTCATCATTTGATTGAATGCACAATGGTTCTTTGGTGCCTCATACTGAAGGAATTTCATGGCTGTACCTTGGTGCATTTTGGGATCTATGAGGGGGAGATATGTGTCAATGCTGATTTTAATGATTAATGTTTTTGGCTCTTTGTTCATTTTTCTCTCAGTAGTGACCTAGCTTAAAGGTTTCTACTCATTTAAGAGTGGATCATGAAACATCAAAATGGAGCAGACAGTGATTCACAACATATTTAAATAAAATCTTAACAAACAATAGACCACCTAATATATTTCTAGGGTTGGGATTTAGGAAAATGCATGTGTGCTGGACCGAAGTGTTTGGAGACTGTCCCAGTTTATTGATTCGTGATACATTTTAATTCATGGTATGGAGTAATCAAATTGTTTGGAGGTCAATTGGTGTTTCTGGGATCTTTTGCTCATGTGATTGGTTCATGTCCTGTGAAATGGTTCAACAAGCAAGGTAAACTTTGGAACCTTACTCCATTTTCCATATGCTGGTGTTCATGGAGAGAGGTATAACAGAACTTTTGAATATAAGAGAAGTGAAGGAAATTCTGTCATTGTAAAGGTGGAGCGCATCATTTATCTTTCAGGTGTCTATGTTTGCAGCCTTTGGAAAATGAAGTTTTTCTGATTTTGCAATTGTCAAGTCAATATTATCTTTTGTTCTTCGTGAGGGTAATTTTGTAGTCTAAATATCAAATGGCTAGAGCTAGTTTACATATGACTTTATATGGGCATTGCCATTCAGTACTTCTTGATACTTGTGTAATAAAAATCTGACTTATCTGTCAAAAAAAAAGAAGACAAAAATATGCATGCTGGTTGTGCCCCTTGGGTGGTGGTGTTGTTGGCAGTGCTTTTCAATTTTATCAATGCTGATTCTCATCAAGGGATGAAAAGATTATTCATCCATTGCAATTTTTTCTGGAGTTTTTTTTAAAACTCCTGTATACAGTTTTATTTGTCAGTATGCTGTGCATCATTTGTCTTGTCAAAATCTACTTTTCAGGTTCAAGTGTATAGATTTGGATGGAAATGGAATTCTTACGCCCAATGAAATGCAGTTCTTTTATGAAGAGCAGTTACATAGAATGGAGTGCATGGCTCAAGAGCCAGTGCTCTTTGAGGACATTTTATGCCAGATGGTTGACATGGTTGGACCAGAGGTCACACCTTGCCTTTTGCTGAATCTTTTGGATCTTTCTTGTATTTTAGCAACAGGTGGTTGCAGTATTTGTAACAGTTCAATTTTTCTTGCAGAACGAGTCCTATTTCACACTACGTGACTTAAAAGGATGCAAACTATCTGGAAATGTCTTCAATATCCTTTTTAATCTTAATAAGTTCATGGCTTTTGAAACACGTGATCCATTTCTCATTCGTCAGGTATGTGCAGTGTTTCTGCCTAATTGCGATCTACATACTAATGAGAAGATGTGGTGAGTGGTGAACCACATTGATGTTTGTATTCATGAGTTTTATTGCTGCTATGCTGTGCACAGGAACGTGAAGATCCAACTTTGACAGAGTGGGATCGCTTTGCACACAGAGAATATATTAGGCTTTCCATGGAAGAAGATGGTGAAGATGCCTCCAATGGCAGTGCAGAAGTTTGGGACGAATCACTTGAGGCTCCTTTTTGAGTTCAAATCAGTAAGTGGAATTTCCTAACCATTTCTTCTTGGTTATCACTGGTCACGGTTATTTTATTTGTATCCATGCTACCTATCTGCGAGTGGGGTGTATGTTACTAAATGGTTATTTTATTTGTATCCATGCTACCTATCTGCGAGTGGGGTGCATTCTTTTCTGTGTTAATGTTTAATTGTTTATATTGATTGTTCCTTATAAAATGAATAATATGAATAAACACTCGTAATGATTTAACTATCAAAGTTGGGGTACTTGTGATTGGAAGGGTTATAGTGTCTTTCTACCACATGTAGCTGAAGCCACAGAAATACAGCCACCTAGAATGCTCATATTGCTTCATAATTGAAACAACTAGGACAATCACGCTAGCTACCTGAAGTAATGCAGCTAACATAAATAAAAGAACTTTGTTATGATCCACATATTTTTGCTTTGACTAATTCACTTCCACTTACTGTGCATGTTTTATATATTTTGCTTGTGTATTTTAACTTGAGCTAATAGGTTTTTTTAAAACATTTTTTTTTTTTTTTTTAAATTCAGGTTTGCATTTTTTATGTATTGCTTTTTGCTTTTTTTCTATTTTTTGCTTTTTTTTTCCAAAAAATGGACCTTGCTTCAAAAAGGCACATAGCTGAAGTAATGCAGCTAACATAAATAAAAGAACTTTGTTATAATCCACATATTTTTGCTTTGATTAATTCACTTCCACTCACTGTGCATGTTTTATATATTTTGCTTATGTATTTTAACTTGAGCTAATAGGTTTTTTTAAAACATTTGTTTTTTTTTTTTTTAAATTCAGGTTTGCATTTTTTATGTATTGCTTTTTTTTCTATTTTTTGATTTTTTTCCAAAAATTGGACCTTGCTTCGAAAAGGCACATGCTTTGTATCTCAGGCACTAGAACTATTGACATCCTTAGCTGGATCAGTTGTGGTCTGATATTAGATTCTGGTTTGGTTACTAATTTCTCCTGAATTTGAATTTTGAAGTCTTTGGTCATATTGTCTATGGTAATAGGTTTGTTTATTATCAAATGAAAGTAAGTACAGTCCTTACTGATAAAAAATGAAAGCAAGTACAGGTACTAAACTTGTGTTAAGATATATTTGCTGTCCAATGTTTTTTTCAGAGTTTCCTAGGCCATACTTTCTGTAATTAATTATGTGATGATTGAGAAACATAATGGAGTGCTACTTTACTTGATTGGTTGTGACATTTCAACTGTGAAAACATGTGGTGTGACTTTAATTGGATCAACTGGTGTGGATTTGGCTTCACCTTTCCCTTGCCCTTGGTCATGTAGGCAGCATATCATAAACTGACTAGTATGTTGAGGGCCAAATTGACTGCATCATCAACTAGTTGTTCAATACCCATGATGTAGTCACCTTGGATGACTGTTTTTACACTAAATAGTGAATATTGTTATTAATAAAGGTAATACAAGAGACCTCTCCAATGCTGCAGCATCTCATAAAATCTGATGGCATTGGTCTTCCATTCTTGAGTTCAATGACTTTTTCTTTGGGTTTAGAGATCATCTGGGGCTTGTATTGTGCTAGTATGGAGTTGCCATCAACAAGGGGATCACATCAGATAGTTAAGCTCTTCAAAAAATAAAGGATATTATTCCCGGCTTCAGCATTATCCAACCTAGCCTTTTATGTTTGCAAAGCGTTTTGTATCATATCCTTTATTTCCTAATTTAATTCTTATTAACTAATATATGAGATAGCATTAAATGCATTTTTTTTGGGTGAAGACTAGTCAGCATCTAGCCATTGACTAGTTGCTGCATGCATGTGTGGGGTGGGGATGGGGGATAAAAGAACCAGTCATTGCCTCACCAAATTGGCAGCACTCATACAAAGGTAGAAACTCCTAATCTTTTCATGCTTGTTTCACTTCAGAGCTGGTATGTTAGATTTGGAAAAGATCAAGTGCAGGATTTGTAGACAAGGAGAAAAAAACTTTGAACATAGTGTGCAACCAAAGTTTGTTTTCATGTTTTGTTATGAAAAAAAATTTCAGGGAGTTGGATTCAATGAGTGAGGTCTATAGATAATGTAATGGGATTGTAAGGCATTTATCTTGTAAGAGTAAATTGAACAGTGTTTCTGATTTGATTAAAATCCTGGATGAGGTGGTAGTAGATCCCTTTAGGAGGGATAGTAGGATTTGGACCCCTTCTCCCTCGGGTGTCTTTTCTTGTTCCTCCTTCAGAGAGTTGGTTCAATCCTCATATGTTATTGGGCAACCTTTCCTAGTCTTGGAAATTTGGGGTAAACCAATTCCTCCCAGAATAGATGCTTTTTGTTGGAAAGCTTTCTTAGAAAAGTTTAACACTTCGATTTATTTAAAAGAAAAAGGCCTAATTGGTGCTTGTCCCCACACTGGTGCATCCTATGTAAGGATAATGCTGAGAGCTGCTATCACTTAGTGATATCCTGTCCTCTTGTTTCAAAGATCTGGAGTTGGTTTCTCTCTCTATTTGGTTGTAGGTGGACCTAGGGGTGCTCACGGTACCGGACTGGGGGTCTATTTTCCAAACTGAACAGCTAGTACCGGTTTTTGGGAAACCAGTAATCGAACCCGAACCCAAACCGGTTGGTTAACCGGTTGATCGGTTTGGTTAACCGCTGGTTAGGTTCATTGGTTTTTGGGTTTTTATAACATATATGTGTATATATATATATGTATAAACATATATTAAAAAACTAGAAGTATATATATATATATATAATATTATATAATAAATAATATATTATATATTCTAAATATATATTTATATATATATATATTCATTTATAATATATAGATAATATAAAATATATATGAAAAATATATAATATACATAAACATATATAATATGTTATAAATATATGTAAACCGGTTGGTTTGGTTAGTCGCCGATATACATATATTTATAAATATATTATATATGTTTATGTATATTATATATTATACATATATTTATATGTTATAAATATATGAGTCCACATATATTTATATATTATATACAATAAAAAACCAGTTGTGGACTCATCGGTTAGGTTCGGTTTTTCAGTTTTTCATGATCACCCCTAGGTGGACATCCCCTCCAAATGTGCAGAGCTTGTTTAAGTCTACTTCAGTTAGAGGGTCAAAGAGGAGAGGTAAAATTATGTGGAGATGTGTAAGAGCAGCTATCTGTTGGATAGTTTAGGAGGAAAGAAATCAAAGAACTTTCTATGAAAAAGAAAGAAATAAGGATGCCATTATTGAAACAATAACTGTGAGGGTGGCTTCATTGGGTTAAGACTATGAAGTTATTTGAAGATTTTTCACCAGGAGATATTTTAAGAATTGGATAGCCTGTTCAGCTCCTAGTAAAACTGTTCCTAATCCAATTTGGTCTCCTCCGGCTGTGGGGTTTACCAAATTGAATTTTGACGGTAGCAGTGAAGGAAACCCTGGCCCTTCGGGTGTAGGAGAATTCGTGGATGAGGAAGGACAAATTTTTTCTTTGTATTCTAGTCTTATTGGAAGTGGGGATTCGGGGCTGGTTATTAGTTGGCTGCGGAAGGAAGAGATCAGGTTTTGGAATTTCTTAAATGAGACAAAGAAGTGTAAACAGCTATCCCAGGACATGGGAATTAAGTTTTAGTGGATTAAGAGGAGTGCCAATTCTTTTGTGGACTCACTTGCCAAACAATGGGTGGTGGAAGAGTCAATCTTTTTTGGGCAATGTTATACTATGGAGGAATCTAAGACTAAGTGAGGGTTAGATTACTATGGAGTAATCTAAGACTAAGTGAAGGGCATGTGTTGCAACTTCTCCCAAAAACATGGTTAAGTTGCATGATACAGAATATAATCAGAGGTGTAAATGGATTGAATTCAAAGCAAATCGGCCAATATTCAAATTTGAATTTGATTGGGAAATCAGATATTCTATTCAATTTGAATTCGACTGACATATCTGCAACTTTATATTCTAACCTCATAACAGAAAACATAAAAAAAACAGAATCGGGAACATCACAACTCTAATGCAAAAGTTTGTAAAATTTTACCTATAAAAAAGCAGGCTGTTCAAAAACTGAAACAAAAACCTAAAAAAACAATCCAACCATGTAGGTTGAAACCATTGAACAAATACCAAATCCTTAGATGTTAGAGTTCACAAAACCCTCTCATCTCTTGTTCTCTTATGTTTTTTCTTTTCTCAACCATAGTCTTCTTCCCTTTTTCTTCCTTCGTTGGCATCAATGACGACCATATATTGTTTCTGAGAAACCTCTGCTCTAGCACTTGGTCGGATGGTCTGAGTCATGGCTGCACTTATCTTCCTCGTCAAAAAAAAAAAAAAAATCAATACAAGTTGGGGACTTTTGCACTACAAGATGAAGAAAAAAGTTTCCAAGTTTTCCAAGAAAATGTTACGTACTACATCTTCAATCAACATCTCTCTATCTTCATGGCTGAGATCTATACGACCAATCTACTCTATGAGATGCTGCAACTGCAAGAAGCTCAGCCTGAACTATAGAGAAAGGAGAAAAAATAAATAAGTAAAAGATTAGTAGCAAAGAATTGAAATGGAGAAACAGAAATAGCATAGAAGAAAAGAACAAATGGAGAGATACAAAATGAGTGGTGCACGATTAGGGATAGGGAGAAATGTGAGGGGAAGATTTCTACAAAAGCCTTGTTCTTCACGAAAAAGTAAAGAGAGATCAGCAGTTTTTGGATTCTTTCCATTAAAAATGTTAAAATATTGGTTTTGTTACATTCCCAAAGAATCATCATTACTTTTGAGATAGTACTTTTCATTGTTTTTTATTAGTTAATATTAATATGATAATGTAGCAACTTTATTAAAACATCATTGTACCATTGTCAAGATAATATATTAATATATTTGCTTCTCTCTTATAGCAAGTGCGTGTGTATTCGAATTTGGCCATTTATGGTGTACAGATTATTTGTATCTGATTTGATTATGTTGAATC